CCGGCCTTTCTCCCCCCAGCCTCACCAGCCACAATGAGATTGTTCTTCTGACTCTAAAGGTGTTGAAGTTTTCGGCTCTGCAGCCTCCTGACTTAATTCAGTGTGGGTGATGGATGCCTGCCAGGTGCTCTAAGGGTCAGGGTCTGGCCATTTATCTGACAGAAGATGTTTCTCTGTGGCCAGGGTACCCCTCTGGCCAGCCCACCATCCATCAGCCCTCAGAGAGGGGGCCTTTTCCAGTCAGCAGTTATTGTCATTCCAGCTGCTGCTCATAAATTTTCCGAAGCACTTTCCGCTGGCTCAGGAACTGCCTGCCGGTGGGCCCCAGCAGAGCTCCACACGTGGGGGGTTGGGGAAACAGCCCAGGGGGGGTGCTGAGAGGGGGCTCAATCTGGAAAGCAAGATTCTTAGAAAAACAGAAGCACACACAGTGCAGACCTATGCAGGGGATGCTGAAGCCGTGCAGAGGTTCTCGGGCTGTGGGTGCCGTGAACAAAGGAGGAAATAGCATCCCACCTGCCAGACCGTCAGAACAAATGAGACTACAGGGTCCGAGTTCACAGAGAACCTTCCTTCCAGCTCACGCTTAAAGGATGTATCTGTAAACACATGTGCACACACACACATACACACATACACACTCGCAGTCATGCATGCACTCACCCCTCTTTTTCACAAAGAAGATCTCTATTTTCTAATACTCCCTCCACTTGCTAATCCAGGCAGCTCAAAGGAGTGGTCTCCAGGGGAAAGAGACTGAAGAAAACCAGGTAAAGACGGCAGCACCATTTATTCATTCAACAATATTCCCCGAGTGCCTGCTCTGTGCCAGGGCTGTCCCGGGTGCGAGAGGAGACACCAGGATGAGCCAGATGTCATTGCCCACAGAGCTGGTCCTCTGCCTGGAGAGAGGAAGCCCAGGCAGCACCCATTAAGGGAGGCTTTGCCCTGCAGGATGACTCTGATTGATGGACAGCGGCTGCCTGCAGGGCTGTGTTGAGTGGGATCTGAGGCCATATCTAGGTCTAGGTTTTCTCACTGTAAATGAGGGCAATAATAACGCCACCTCACAAAGCTTGTGAGGACTAGAAGAGAGGAGACATCTAAAGCACGAGGATGTGCCTGGCACAGGTTGCGACTCAATGAAGAGCAGAGTTAAGTCCCCTCCGCTGGGTCCTTCCGTCTATGGCTGCGTGGCCCACATGCCCCTGCAGGCAGTGACCCTCTCACTGAAAGACTCTGTGTGCCCGTTCTGCACCCAGCGCTGCAGGTCTTATGGCGACTGAGGCCAAAGGTATACTGAGCTCTGGGATGGGGCCAGGAGATTGGCCACGCCCAGCAAGTGGGTTGGTGGCATCTCCCCATGCAAAGTTTGAAGAGTGAGGAGAGAAGGGCTTGGGTATCTGTCGCCCACTGCTGCCTCCATCATGCCTCGGTCAGACGAAGTCTGATGTCACTCCTCTTCCATGGCTCCCTATGCTCTGGGGACACAGCCCCACTCTCTCCAAGTAAGGCCTCCTCAATCTCCTGGTCTCCACTCACTCGAGGATCCTGACAGATGGCCGGGCTGTCAGTCCCCCAGCGCCTCATGCTCTATTTCACCTCCGAGCTTTTGCCCAAGCTGCTCCCTCTGCCCGCACACCTTTGCCCTCATTCTTCACTCTTCTTTTGGGTCTCAGCTTAGCCATCCCCTCCTCCAGGAAACCATACCCTCCCGTCCTGCTTCCGTTTCTCCCATCATAGCTCTCATCACTCTGGGCTGTCCTTGCCTGACTCTTGTCCCCATGTTCCACTGTGCCCTGAACTCTGTGAGGGCAGAATCTTTGACTTGATCAAGGTGGATACCCAGACGTTCAAGAGTCGAATTTCTTGGAAAATACACTCGCCCACCCCTGGACTAGAGGGCTCCAGCCTTGGATTGACATTCCCTGTGTTGGATGGGGCCCAGGTGTCTGCATTTTTAACAAGCTCCTTGATTCTGATGACCCCTGACCCCGGGTCTAATACCATGCCTGGCATACCACTGAGTAGGTGCTCAGAGCTTGTTGAATGACTGCATGATTTCTGCCCATCAAATAAGGCCACTGACCGACTTGGGTACCGTTTCCCTAGGAAAAAGAAGGCTGCTCGCTAGTTAGAACCCAGGCAGGGGTAGAACCCAAGTCCTCTAAGGTTCAAACAGCGCTGGAGCTCCTGGTGCATTACCAGGCCGCGCCCCTACCTCCGGGGGAATGCTGTCCTCCGAGTCCGAGCTGTCTTCATAGACGCCGCCGCCACCCCCCTCCAGGTTCATCTGCAGCAGCTGGTCGATGGTGGCGTCCACGGCGCCGCTGTTGGCGCGCAGCACGCACTCTATGATGTCGTAATCCATGTTGGGGAACATGGTCTTGAAGTCGTCCATGGCCTGGTTGAACTCCAGGCGGCGCACCTGGCGGGCGGGCCGGCTGTTGTTGAGCTCCTGG